ACAGCAATTAGAAAAGAGTTTCAAAGCTGAAATAGTGAACTTTTTTTACCTGATGTTCTGCATGAATGTTATCCCCTGTAGGCCATCGATGTTTGCTATTATTATAGCCGCCTCCACCACTTCCTCCTCCCCCAAGCTGCTCACCATGCTGCCTCTGAAAGAAGTAGTCCACCATAGCGTCGTCCTGGGAACGGCCTGCAACTCCTATGGATCCTGGGACAGGGCTGGAGTGTGTCCCAGCTGCAAGAGTCTGATTTGCAGCTGGTTGTGGCTGCGCTTGCGACCCTGTTCCAGATGTCAAAACAACAGGCATGTTGGGATTAGATGGTTCTTGAGGGTGATGTTTCAGGTGGGGGCTGAAAGAGTCCTGCCAAAGCACTGCTTTTCTCTTCAAGACACATGCAACGCTCATTCCACCAACACCTGCGGACAAACAGGTTACAAATGGTTAAAATGTGCATTTTAAAAAACATACTTGACATACACCGAGATAAAAATGAGCTCCATATCTTCTGCGATACATCTACAACTAGTACATACCAAGTAGCTAAATGTTTTATAGTACACACACAATATTCTAAAACAAAACCTCCATTTTTTAAGTGTTGTGTGCGTGTGTGCGCACGCGCGCGCGCCTGCGTGTATAAATAAATGTAATTGGTGGCAGGTACTCAGACAAGGTATTGAGATCAGGACTCAATGCAGCAATTCATGGAAACTTATGTTGTCACCAAAGGTAACAACATAAAATTAGACTTCAATTAATGGCTCCTCTACCCAAATTATTTACACCTTAAGCCAACTGTGGCAGATACTTTTTAAATGAACAAGACCCTTTATAAAATATCACTTTACAACTGAAGCAAACATATGGCAATAAACCAAACAAAAATCCAAATCTCATATATAATTAGCAATGACTCGGATTGTCTAAAACTTGAAAGGACCTTTAAACTTTCCAACATATTCACAGAATGCTCCTTGAAGAAACAATAAGGCCCCCAACCAAGAACAGCAACTGAATGTTCTTAGCCTGAAACTCAGCTGCTATTGATGGAGGAAAAAATTCAAAAATTTTACCAATAAGTTACAAGTATAATTGTAATCACATCATCATTCCATTGGTACTTTGAGTCCTGTAAACAGGATAAGACCAAATCAAATTCACACTTGACTAGAGTAGAAAATCTCACTGTTAAAAAAACAGATGCCTCAACACAATAATTGTGAGGCAAACACATTGCAGACATTATTTAATCATCCCTATTTTACAGATGAGGGACAGAAAAGTTGTGTGTCTAAGGGACAGAAAAGTTGTGTAACGTGTCTGAGGTCATTCAGCTAGTGAGTAGCAGAGAAGGGATTCAAACCTAAATCTGTTTTGCACCCAACGCTAGTTCTTTCTCTCAACTGGGGCTAAGGGCCCCAGTAAATCAACACAGGTTCTATTTCTCACTTGCATCTGCTACTCTTTCTTCTCTAGAAGGATCAACAAAGCATCTCCAAAATGATACTATGAAACATTACTATTTTAAGTTTCTTAAAAATCAAAAACTACATTTGTACATAAGACAAACTTGTCATCCTGTAGGTGCTAAAAAAAATGCTACAAAGTAATTAATCAGTGACCAATTAGAACACATCTGTCCATAGCCACTAGAGTCTAATTTCAAGGCTATCAACCTAACAGTCCACTGCTACAAATGCTTTCTCTCCCTATCCCAACTGTGCATTTCAAAAACACTTCTAAGATTTATGAGAAATCTACTATTTCTCTATAGGTTAAACTTCCTGATAAAGAAGCATTTGCTTCTCACAACTAGTTCACGTTTTGAAGCCAGAAGTAAGAAGACACAATGGAATTTGTAATTGTTCAAAGCCTAATTTGGAAATGTCTAGTCTCAGTTAAAAATTCCAATCCATTGGAATCTTATTAGGGTACTGGGTTAGTGCAGCTTTCTAGACTTCAGTTTCTGCTTTCATGAATTGAATTGTATTCATGCTTAAGTGCCAAAATCAGAAAGTCATAGCTGTGTTGACCATAGGTCTTTGCAAAGTGCTAACCACCCTAATGCCTTCCGGTTTGATTTTCAAAAGAACTCATTGCCCTCTTATTTACCAATAGTAGTAGCCAGTTCCATTTTCTTCTACAAGAGAGTATCAATCTAAAAGTCTTTGTTCTAGAGCAGCGGTTCTCAACCTGTGGGTCGCGACCCCTGTGGGGGTCGAACGACCCTTTTACAGGGGTCGCCTAAGACCATGGGAAAACAAAAAGATACTTACATTACAATGCATAACAGTAGCAAAATTACAGTTATAGAGTAGCAACGAAAATAATTTTATGGTTGGGGTCACCACGAGGAACTGTATTAAGGGGTCACGGCATTAGGAAGGTTGAGAACCGCTGTTCTAGAGCAAGCCAAGAGTCCCTAAATCCAAGTTTTACCATTAAACTACCGAAATTCTTTGAGCCTTTTTCCTCATCTAAAAAAATGGAAAAAATCCTTCCTTTATGCTTCCAAGTTTGTTTTTCTTAACCAAAATAAAATAATAGATGTAAAAGTTTTTTGCAAATTTAAAGTCACCAGGCTGAGAATTCAGTTACCATCAATTAAGGCAATGATACTCCAGCTCCTTAGGATTCCTAAAAACAGCAAATGCAATCTTTCTGAAATAAAAGATGTGCCATAATACTTAGCTAGCAAAGAAGTTCCACATGAAAATAAGTGTTTACCACTGAACACAACTTCATTCCAGCAAGGGATGGGGATGGGGGGGAGATTCCTATAAAAATGTTCAAACAAAACAATTGGCTTTTGTAAAGCTATCTGTTCGGCCTGAGACTTCCTGCTTTACCTAATGAGGCAAGGCAGTTTCTCAAACAAGAGAAAACCTGGCAGAAGGAACAGTTTGAAAGTGAGCAAATACCTAAGCAATTAATATGTGTCTTGGGTAGTTTTGTAATATCTTGGCAACTACAGCACAAAAATTAAGAAATCAATCACTTAAATATTAGAAAACAAATTGCTGATGCCTTTTAGAGAACTCTCAGAGCCCACTAAAAAGTTATGTGTAGCACTTGAAATATGACTTTTTACAAATGGCACATTATAAGTATTTTAAGCAACTAGAAATTAAGTGCTGATTCTAGTTACTCTCCCAGTTTTCAAACTGCTCACATCAAAGTTTAATATCACAAATAGATTTTATTTCAAACAAAAGAACACGGTTCAATCCATCTTCACAGCTCGCTTTTTTTTTTTAACTAAAATAGTGTTTTAAAAGGTGTTTCTTTTTACCACGCTGGGGAAAAAAAAAAATTCTATGGTCACAAATGTGACCATAGAATTTAAAGCAGTTCATCTCAAATCCAAACTAAACTTCAAACCCAACTTCGAAAAGCTGTGGCCTTGGACAAAATGAATTCAGTTTTGGCTAACGCAAAATACTAACTCAAAGTTCAGAATCCAGTATTTCCCAAAGGTCCAGATAAACAATCAACAGCCCCCAAGAGTGTTTTATAAAGTTAAAATTAGCAATGGGTCAAATGTTTAGTATTTTGCTTACTAAAACTACATCAGGAGCCACATTATCTTGGAGGAGGCTTGTCTTGATGAGTTTTATGTATTTTCATTAAACAAAAAGCTAAAAGTACAAACTTACTGATCCAGAAGTAACCGACTTTAAAACAGAACCCCAAAAAAGCCTCATAAACTCTCCTTCTTAATCCCAGGAAGAGTAGGAAGTGAACGAATTGATACCGACAACTAAAAAGTGTCTTTTTAATTGAACAATGAAAAGTAACAATCCAAGTTATCGTGAGGATAAAACCTTTACTGATAATGTTTTTCTGTGTGTGCTTGGGGTTTTTTTTGGGGGGGGGGGGGGAGGGGGCCCTACAGTGGGGAGAAAAAAGTTACAGAGCGGATTCCTCACTTGACGTGGGAGTGGTACTGACAACTATAACAAATGATCTATGTTTACCAAGAACGTTTGTTGAGGACTAAAACTACCTAGCATTGTGCATCTGTTTTCCTGCTACTGAAGGGTGAACCCCTCTTTGAGTTCACACACACAGGCACCAACAGAGAGGCTCAAAGGGGAAGAACCCACCAAAAACACAAGCTCTCACGGAAACAAAAGGCCACAAGCACCCAGGAGCCTAAAAAGCGATCTGAAACTTCCTGACCGCCACTTCTCCACATTTAAGGCTCACAAAGTTCCCCCCATGGTGGGTCTCGCCTGTAGACAAGGGCCATGGCTGCTTCTAAAGCGACTTATTGTTCCTCCTGCTTCGGCGCTGCCACGGAAGCTCAAGAAGTCGAAGAAATCCAGGGTGGCACAGAATTACACTTCATGGCCACACAGAAGACTCGGGGCTTCGCAAACCCATCAAAAAAAGCAACCCAAATGGCAACATCAATCTTCAGGGACTCCAACAGGGCCGAGCAGAAATGTTGGGGCACGTCTATGCCCTGGGCCCGGGCCTAAACCCCCGGCATTTTCCTCGCTTCGACCCTGGTCCCCACCCCCTCCCTTCTTTGATAACAATAGGGGCCTTGCTGCTGACTCCAAAACATGTACGAGGAACAGCGAGTGAGAAGCCTAAGCCAGGGCCCCGGCGGCTTTTCCAAAGCCCTTCTCACCCCCCCAACCTCTCTCAAACACCAATACAAAAGGAAAATCTGCTCGCTGGGGGTCCGGAGCAGCGTTTGGGGCCGGCGGGGTGCAGATACTCACGGGCGGAGCGGTAGGATGAAGATGGATTTCAGCCCCCCGATCTTCTCTCTCCGGCGCTCTCGCTCCCCCTTACCTTTCACTCCGACAACATGGCGGCCCACTGGGGACTGGGCTGGCGCGGTGCATCATGGGATAGGCTCTGGCCCCCGGCTCCGGCGGTGGCAGCGGCATGTGCGGAGAAGGCAGGCGGCTCTGGAACAGGTTGCCTGGTTGCCATGCCAACCCGGGGCCTGAGCGAACTTGGGAAACTCGTAGGCAACACAACCGCTGCGCGCGCGAGGGCCCGCCTGCTAGGCGAGCGCGCGCCGGCCGCGGGGAGAAGGCGGAGTCCCGCGGGTCCGCACTGGAGAGCGCGACACCGAGCTGAGCACGCGGGGTCGGGGCGGTGACGCTCTACAGAGTGAACGAGGGAGTTGGGACGCCGCGCTTCCTGCCCCGGCGCCCTCCCAATTTCATCCCCCAGATTGTTAACAGCCTGCAGCGTTAATGGACGCTTATTCGCCAGGCTCTGGCGTGACAGGTGCTGGGATCAAACTCCTTTGCGGCAGCTTTTTTGGCTCTCTGGCCTTATTTAATCTTTCTGACTCCAATGCCCCATTGTAAAATGAAAAGGAAAATGGAAATGGCTATGTAACAAAATGCCACGAGGATTAAGTGGAATCATATATGTAAAGACCTAAGTACAGTGCCTGGACTTGTAAGCAGGACCTGTACATAATTTGCGGGGTCTAGCACAAAATGAAAGTGCGGGGCCCCTTGTCTAGAACTATTAAGAATTTCAAGGCAGCGATACCAGAACTCTAAACCAAAAACATAAGGCCGACACTGTTTGTAAGGACTCAGTCCGTGTTAGCTGTTGTCATTCTGTCCAGTTTCGAAAATGAATAGAAATTTGGCCATTTGATGAAAGTGATTTTTCAAATCAGTAGCGTTTGATAAGATATAGTTGTTCTATCTCAAACTAAACCCATGATGGATTGAAAGCTTTGGCAAACCACAATACTATAAGTGACCAGAAGGCTTTATAATTGGAGGGGAGAAATATTTATAATGAATCAAAATCAATAAATCATTTTAAAAATTGAAAGAAATTTAAACATCTGTACAGTAAGAGATGCCAGCAACAAAGAACAAATGAAAAAATAGCTTTAAAATACTGCAATATGCATGGTAGACAAACGGTTCATTGTCATGATAAATACAGAACTTCTCAAATCAATTTTTTTAAAACAATCCAAACAAGACAGACATAAAATCACTAATGGATAATAAACACAAAAAGAGAACTAACCTGAGGCTGAGGGATGAAGGGGGGAAATGGGGAGACTGCTAGTGAGTATGGGTTTCTTCTGAGGGTGTTGAAAAAGTCTTAAAACTAGATTGCAATGATGGTGACACAACTCTGAGAATATGCTAAAAACCACTGAACTGTGCACTTTACATGAGTGAAGTTTATGGTATGTGAACTATATAACTCATAAAGCTGTGCAAAATGAGAAAAAATAACTAATAAAAGAAATGCAACTTTGAGATATAATATTTTCATCTATTAAATACACTAGTAAAATTTTTAATGATTATTAACACCCTGTTTTGGCTAAGTTTTGTGAGAAAATTGACACTTATATTGTTTAAATTGTTTGAGCATATATGACTTTTATTCTTTTAAACAATGTTGTTTTTATTTAAAAAAAATAAAAGAATGACATTTTTATTTCTGAAAAAGGACCAGACTTGGAAGTTAAAGATCCTGAGCTATGCCACTTCCTGGCTGTGTGACCTTAGGTAAGTCTCAGAGGGTAGGAATCTTCACAATTCATCTGGCTCAACCCATAGATAATAGATAATATAATCAACCTTTGGGAGTTTTTGAAAAGCAAAAATCTTATCAATCAGAATGTGTGCGGGGGGGGGGGGGGGGGGTGGATTTGAGGAGTGTTTTAAATCAAATCAGTAGAAACCCAATCCACTTCTTTGTAACCTAATTAGAGAAAGACTAAGATCTCAAGACAAACATTTAGTGAAGGCCATTCAAGAAAGCCTTGGTTCAAGAATTTCAAATGTTTTATCTTACAATAAGAAAAAAAAAATTTTTTTTCAGTGTTGCTGCTTCCTTCATGGTGGTTCTGAAAGTCTAGCCTAAGGCTCACTGAGGTGACTCAGCCAACCTGGCCATGCAGAGAACAAATACCAGAATGGACAAATGCTGTTCAGTTCCACAGACTTTCATTCTCTCTTACAGCTAACCACTATTGTCTAGTAAAAGTTACTATAATGTGGTATCTGTAAACTGAAAATAAAACATTCTCAAAAAAGTTGGGATGCTCCTAGTTATGTGGAAAGATACTTTGTTATCAGTGTTGGCTTCAGTTGCTCTTTCAACTGTGTTACACTTGTGTTTTTGTATACTGGTAGAATCTCCCCTTGGGTGGCACTTCCGGTCATTGTTTTGGCTGTTTTGGCGCTTGGGTAATCGTTACACTGTTAGCATTTCCATTGTCGTTATGTTTTGTAGCAAATCTTGGTTATTAGAGTGTTTTTTCCATAGCAAGGTAGGAGTGAGGAAGGGTTTGGGCTTTTCTGTGTTGGTGACTAGGTAATTCTGACCAATTCTCCACCGAGGAAAACCGGTAAAACTGGAAAAATCTAAAACTCTTCTTGCAATCATTGGAAAGTTAACAAATTAGTGAAGAATTATTGAGCCAGGATCTGGGAAAGGAAAGAAGTTGAGGAATTTAAGCCTCACATTTAGAACTACTTTTCCAGGTGGGGCATTTCCTGAGAGGTAGTTAAGAGAGTGGTATTTTTAACAGCTTTGGGGGGGGAGGAGGGAGAGGGAGAGGGAGAGGGAGAGAGAACACCTAGTAAACAACTGTCACTTTGGATTGAGATCCCAAAAGACTGCACCTTAAAAGCAAATATAGGGCCGGCCGAGTGGCGCAATGGTTAAGAACTCGCTTGGGATGCCAGAGGGCCCCGGTTCGGATCCCACATATGAGGGCCAGTAACACTGCCCTCTACAGCTAAGATGCTGAACAACAGCTCAACCTGGAGCTGGGCTGCCTATGAGTCGCCGGCGACGGCGTGGGCTGCAGTCCCTGTGGCAGTGGATTGCCATGGGCTACCGTGTGTGGCCAGCAGCCAGCGTGAGCGGCCAGCAGCCAGCGTGAGCGGCCAGCAGCCGCAGTGAGCGGCCGTCCAGAAGCCGGCGACTGATCTGCCTCGCCAGGGAAGAGCGCAATGATGGTGCCAACTTGGGCCAGTGAAGCAACATCCTCCACAACTAGACTGAAGAACAAAACGGACAGCAACTTGTCTGTTCCCCTTTCCCCAATTCCCCAGCACTGTTCCCATCCCCCCAATTCCCCAATAAAAATCTTTAAAAAAAAAAAAAAAAGCAAATATAAATAGAGTAGACAAGCTCTTACAGAGATCAAAACTCAGCTTCAAACCATCTCAAAGCCTGAAATTGTATTAAGGTGACCCCAGAATGCCATTGCCTCCAGATGCCTGGCAGAAAAACAAAGTGAATCCCCTCTGATTAAAGATATCATCATGATCCTAGGCCTCAAATTATTTCTATGAATAATTATGCAAATACAATATTCAGTCCACAAAAATAACCCCACATAGTAGACAAGATAACATGAACAAAAACCAGCATCAACAAAAGAATTGAAAAGGACCCAAAAGTACCCCAGCTATTGTAATCATCAAATAGTTTATTATGTTCAAGAAGATGAATAGCAGATTGATCATTTGGGCAGAAAAGTAGAAAGTATACAAAATAAACAAGTGGGAATTTTATAAATGAAAAATATAATAATAGAAATGAATAATCCAATGGATTGGGTTTAACAGCAGATTAAATGCTGCTGAAGAGAGAATTAGTAAACTTACAGGGCGCAAGAAAATGTAAATGAATGAAACATGAAAAAGCAACAGAATAGAAAAGAGAGACAAGATAAGAGTTACAGAGGAGAGAATGAAACAGGCTAACCACTGGTACAGTAATTGGAAAACCAGGAGAACAGGAAGGAAAGGGTAGGGCAGAAGTATTTCACATGAAAGGGCTGATTTATCAAAACTAATGAAAAACTAAAGCCACAGATTCAAGAAACACTATGAATTCTAAACAAGAAACTTCAGGAAAATTAAGACTGGCCTGTAGGTGAGTTTTGAGAGGGTGGCAACTCCGTTTTCACCATCCTCAAGAGTCATGTTGTCAAATCAGGACATTGCAAAAGCCTCAGTGAAAACAAAACTGAAGGAAACTCAACACACAGCAAGAAATGAAGGAAGTATAGTGTTGGCAAAGGGAAGAAGGAAGGAAGGAAGGAAAGAAGAAAGAAGGAGAAAAGCTAATACAAAAGGAAAAGAGAATTAGAAGTTTATTAGTAAAATCACAGAATTAAAATTCTGGACAATATGATCATAAATTATATCTCATGCCCAAGGAATTCAATGGCACATGAGAAAGATGCAAAAGTACTGGCTTATTAGGGAGAGATATAGGTATGGATAGATTTTAGAAGTTAATAGGAGTTAAATAAACATAGGTTTTAAGGTAAAGGCAATTACCAAAAAATAAAAATAGCGTTTATAACTTTTAAACCATCAGGAGAAAACTTCATCATAAAAAAAAAAGAAAAAAAAGTATTTCCAATAAATATAAGATGGTTAAACTTACCAATAAAAGACAAGAACTCTATGATTGGATAAAATTATGAGTCACTTAAAAATAAATACCAGCTAAAAATGAACCAAAAGAAAGCCATATATATTACATATTGGTAAAAAAAAAAGAAAAAGTAAGAAAGAAAAGAAAGTCAATAGGACATGAACTATAGATATCATAAAGTTTTATACATCAACATCACAGCCTCCAAATATAGTAGTGTAACTAACAGAAGCGCAGAAAGAGTAAGTCAATCATTACAATTAGAGATTTTAACATAACTTCTGTCAAAATACATAGATCAAGTAAACAAAAAATAAGTAGAAATATCAAAAATTTGACCAACACAATTAATAAACTCAATGTACTTGCTATATGTAGACTTCTATTGCCAACCAACAGAAAATCATAATAGATTTTTTAAAAATATGATATATGTTCAAAAATAGAACATACATAATACTATAAAGGAAGCATCCATAAATTCCAAAACAATCAATATCATATAGACCATGTTCTCCAACCATAAGATAAGAAATTAAAAACTTTGTTTTTTATTGTTGAAAATTACAAACCCTTTATACTTAGAAACTAAATTATATTTTTAAGTAACCATTTTATTAGAACACCTGTAAAGGAGATTACTTAAAAATTAATAATAAGGAAAATATACATCAAAACTGTGAGAGAAAGCAAAAACAGTATTTGGAGGGAAGTAATTAATTTTCAATATGCTTTATTTTAGGAGATAAAATTGTTCAAAATGAACAGTCTAAGCACTCTAACCCAAGAAGTTAGAAAGTTATAGAGCAAGCCCAAAGGCAAAAGAAAGAACCGTGTGGGCATTATAATAGAAAGCTAAGGAAATAATAAAAAAATAATATTATTCATAATAATAATAACAAGAATTACAACTGCAAAAGATTTGTTGGTTCATACACTCTGTGGAGATGCCCATGGTCAATTATATGATCTTGTAGAACTTTTTTTTTTTTTTTAAGATTTTTTTATTGGGGAATTGGGGAAGGGAACAGTGTTGGAGAACTGGGGAAGGGGAACATTGTGTTTTTCCAGGACCCATCAACTTCAAGTCAAGTTGTTGTCCTTTAATCTTAGTTGTGGAGGGCGCAGCTCAGCTCTAAGTCCAGTTGCTGCTTTCAATCTAGTTGTGTGTGTGTGTTTTGGGGTGAGGACACAGTCCACCGTCCCATGCAGGAGTCGAACCAGCAACCTCGTTGTTAAGAGAATACGTTCTCACCCACCAGCTGAGCCATCGCCCGCCCCCCCCCNGTTGACAGCTCAGCGTCAGCTCAGCTCCGGCACAGCTCACTGGCCCACGTGGGAATCAAACTGGCGACCCTGTTGCTCAGAGCTCGCACTAACCAACTGCACCACCAGGCTGGCCCCGAACTTTTTTTTAGTTATGGAAAAATCACCAGACAAAACTATCTATTCATGGGCAAATATATAGATAAGTCTATTATTCAGTGGACACAAGCAGTGTGTCACTGAAGGTGTATTGCCTGGAATTTATTAAAATGTTGTGAGGAAATAATGAAAACTGAAAATTTACCCAACTATTCGCCTTTTAAAATGAATGTAATAATGTATGGGAATGGTAACATTTAGAAACGTTTTAGGGATTTATCTGCTAATGGGTAGGCTTTTATAGTCTGTTCAGATTATTAAAAATAAAGTGGACTATTTCTCCATGTGATCACACATTTGAATGAGACATTTCTCAAACATTTAACCTTGTCAGTGGTCTCCCACTGATTTCTTGTGGCCATCAACTTGGAAAAATATAATTGGTATCACTATCAAAATGTGGCTACCATTTTCAGAATATCTAATTACTGTTATCAATGTAGTCATCAAAGGAATAAAGTTACTATCATGGAAGTGGTTGAAACTTTCAAACCTTCCTTTAATTTGACCCAGCACCCAGCATTTTACTTAGCACATCCCTGACTACTTCCTATAGATAAATCCTGGGAAAACTTCACTTTGTGTGCCATGTGTCATGTGTGTATGCGTCAGGTTTCAAAAAGACTAAAACTCTGCACATAACCAAATTGAACATGTCTGGGAGTTAAAAATTCATCATGAACCAAAACTTTTCATAATTATGATAAGTATTTAGCGAAATCTGAGGGGAAAATTCGATACATCATATCTGAGAAAAATAAATTCCATAGTCCATTTGCCTGAGGTATTTGAGTTCATCCTTTCCTTCTGGATTGTTTAAAAAGAAATGGTAACTAACTCCATCTTTGTTTGTATTTATTTGTAAATTTTAGTTATATTATTAAACTGGCAAGATTAAAAAGAAGTTTAAAAATAATTTAAGGGAAACACAATTTAATTGCCACTTCTGTTTTATTCTATTGGAATGTATGAGTAACTTAACTGGAGAGCTAAAAGATTCCTCTTGCAGCTATGTTGTCAAAACATTTAAAGCAAGTTCCCTATTTAGGATAAAATGATGTAATGTCTGGGATCTGATTCAAAATAATCTGGAGTGGGGGAAAGTAGAAGAGGGTA